TATGACCACTGTTTATACATTTAAATTATGGGGAAGAGTCTATTAGAACTTAGCTTTTCAACTATTTAAAATAAAAGCAAGACACAAATCAGTATGCAGTCAGATGTGATATGAGAGCCAAGATAGTTCTTAAAAAACCACGAGTTGCACCAGGTAGAAACCAGAGTCTAGAAACTCGTTTTCTTCTCCCTTCATTCCTGTTGGTAACTGCAGAAGTCCATATCATGCTCCCTTAAGTTTCTTATTGTTATCTTCACGTTATACACAGATCTCACAGTGCATTATACTCCACACATTTTGATGGATCTGTAGGAAAGTGCTTCTGGCAAATCGTCATTAACCTCTTCAATCCCTAAGAAAATAAAGAAAATAAAGGTTATGATACAGTGAAACTTTTCTAATTGTCCTGTACTCACTCCCGATTACCAATATCCCCATTAAAATGTGGCAGTGTGGCCACATTTTTGTTGAAATATATAAAAATATTTTCTAAAAATATGACATAAAAGACAATGTAAAATTCACATTTTACAGAAACATTTAAGTTCATCCTTAAACGCTCGGTTGGTTGAGCGTCATCCCAAGCACTGAATGGTTGCTGGTTCGATCCCGAGTCGGGGCATATACCCAGATTGTGTGTCCGATCCCCAGTCAGGGTATGAGAGGCAACCAACTGATGTTTCTCTAAACATCGCTGTCAGCCTCTTTCTCTCTTCCCATACCCCTCTCTTCAAAAACAACTTTTAAAATATTTAAAAACAGAATCAAAATAATTTATAAATGAAATAAAATATGGCAGTCCCCAGCAATACCACTCACATGTATAATTAGAGAAGTGTTTATTCATGTATACCCAGAGATATGTACAAGATGGTAATAGATGAATTGTTCACAATAACAATAGCAAAAGAACTGGAAATAACCAAAATGTCCATCATAGGAGAATATATGAAAAAGTATGCTCACAAATGGAACATTTTACAGCAGTCGAAATGAATTAACTAGACCTACATGAAACAGCTCAGCCCTTCTCCACCAGGTTCCAGTAGAGAAGCCCACTGCCTAGCATAAAGCATCCGTGTACATAATGAGACAGCTCCTTTCCTGTGTAACTGAAGGGTGCTACATATGTACCATCTTTGAAAAACATAATAGGCATGCCCAGCTGCTGTGGCTTAGTGGTTGAGCATCAACCCATGAACCAAGAGATGGCTGGTTTAATTCCCAGTCAGGGCACGTGCCCGGGTTTCAGGCTCAATCTCGAGTAGGGGACATGCAGGAGGCAGCCAATCAATGATGTTTCTATCACTCTATGCTTCTCCCTTCCTCTCTCTCTAAGATCAATAAAAACATTGTAAAAGAAAATAGGAAGTCAAATCATCATCTGTGTTCTGTGGTCCAGATGGGAAATTCTGGTTGAAAACAACTGATAGGCATAAATCTTAAAACCATGTTGAATGTAAATAGCAAGTGGCACCCTAGCCAGTTTGGCTCAATTGATAGAGCACTGGCCTGCGGACTAAAGGGTCCTGGGTTCAATTCTGGTCAAGGGCATATGCCTGGGTTGCAGGTTCAATCCCAGTGTGGGGCATGTCAGAGGCATTCGATCAATGGCTCTCATCATTGATGTTTCTCTCTCTCTCCCTTCTTCTCTGAAATCAATTTTAAAAAATACTTAAAAAATTAACAGCAGCAAGTGGCAAAGGCTGCATACAGTATAAGAGCATTTTAATAAAACTCAAAAACAAGGAAAAATAATATGTTGTTTAGAAATACAGATATAACATGGCAGGATTATTTTTGAAAAAGCAAGGCAAACCAGGCTGGTGTGTCTCAGTGGTTAAGTGTCAATCTATGAACCAGGAGGCCATGGTTCCATTCCTGGTCAGGACACATGCTCAGGTTGCAGGCTCGACTCCCAGTAGGGAATGTGCAGGAGGCAGCCAATCAATGATTCTTATCATTGATGTTTCTATCTCTCTCTCCTCTCTTCCTCTCCATAATCAATAAAAATGTATAAAAAAAGCAAAAGCAAACATAAATTCAAAATAATGGCTATTCTGGGGTACAGAAGGAGAATACAGATCCATGAACTTCAAAATGCTCTATTTCTTAAACTAGGCCTTTCTTTTTAAAATCCCCACTCAAGGACATGCTTAGAGAGAGGAAGGGGGAGAGGAGGGAAACAGAGGAGAGATACATCAGTTGGTTGCCTTCTGTACACACTCTGACCAGGGATCAAACCCACAACCTAGGTATGTTCCCTGAATGGGATTCGAACCGGTGACCTTTCGGTGCACCGGACTATGCTCAACCAACTGAGCTGAGCCACTCCAGCAGGGCAAGGCCTTTAGATATGTCTTGTTTACTTTAACTTACATGATATATGTGTTCTTTTGTATGCATGAGACACTACACCATAAGAACATTTTAATAGTGTAAAAACTGAGTACAACATTCCAAATGTAATCTGGCCAATCCTACAGAATTCAGTATTATGCTACTGCACAGCCTTTGTTCTGTACCTTTGGTATCTGTGGTACCATGGCCTTCAGTTCTTTTTAGACAACTACAATATACACCACAAATTCCCATGACCTCACAAATTTCAAGTGCTTTCTTTCTATCTCTTCTGCAATTAGGTCAGTTATTCCCTAGTCTATAACTTTATAGTAATAATTACACTGATGACAAAAACCGTCATTCTTAAAAGTCATTCAGTCTCTTGAAACTCATCCTTCAGTCTGTGATCTTTTAAAACCCTTAGTTGGCATTCCGTTTTCAGTTATTCCTCTTAACTTTCTCATCCACCAGTTCTAAGTCATACAAATTAGAATAGTTCTGGGAAGACTTCTGCAACCAGAAATAAATCCTATTAACTGTTTTATCTACCTGCATGTGTTCTTATTTGCAAGGAGAACCTTTGTCAAATGTCTTACTGAAATCTATGTATCTACAGCAATATTGATTAGTCATTAAAAATAACATCTACCAAGGACAGCAGCACTTAATTTTAATTACATCCAGTGCCATTTTTGGCACAAATTATTTTAAAGTTTCTCAGTTTGGGTTCACAAAAATTAAAATCACCCAACTTCAGGCCTATATTAGATATTGAATAACCTGATAATTAGTATTACTCCCAAATTAATTTTCTGTTCTTAAGAGCTTCATGACCTCGTGGGAAAGAGAATCTATCTGTATATATCTATATATATAAAAGCCTAAGTGACCATTAAGACCAGTCAACTGGTCGCTATGATGCGCACTGACCACCAGAGGGCAGACACTCAATGCAGGAGCTGCCCCCTGGTGGTCAGTGTGCTCCCACAGCCTACCTCCCACGGCTGTCCAACCTCCCATGGGCCCTACTCCCCCAGCAGGCCAGCCCCAGTCGGCCCTGATCAGGGCGGCTGGCCAACTTCCTGCAGTCCCTACCCCCCAGCCAACCAACCTCCTAGTTCCTCCTCCTGGACTGGGTAAGACGGCCCCAACAGGTTCCAATGGATGGCCAGGCCGAGGGACCCCACCCGTACACAAATTCATGCACCAGGCCTCTAATATATATATGTATGTATGTATGTATGTGTATACACACACACACACACACACAGTGGGGCCTTGACTTATGAGTTTAATTCGTTCCGTGACAGAGCTCATAACTCAAATTACTCGTATGTCAAATCTTAAAGTGAACGAGTGAGACACGTGATGCTGGGCTGATGTTGTGGCGTTCACTGTGACGTTTGCTGCACCAACTAGCAGTGGGGTATCTGAAGCTGGCTCGTAACCCGAATTTTAGCTCACAAGTCAAAGCAAAAAATCGGCCGAGAGACAGCTCATATCTCGAAAAACTCGTTAGTCGGGACACTCGTAAGTCAAGGCCCCACTTGCCTAAGCGATCGTCCGACCAGTAGCTGTGATGCGCAATAACCATCAGGGGGCAGACGCTCAATGGAGGAGCTGCCCAGCTGTGGTGACTTGGCAGCTGTGGATCTCAGGTGACACACCCGTAACCAGAAAGGAGGGAACCCAAATCCAGAATGTGTCACCCAAGAACCGCCCTCTCGCAATCTGGGACCCCTTGGTGGATACGTAGTCGGGACACTCGTAAGTCAAGGCCCCACTTGCCTAAGCGATCGTCCGACCAGTAGCTGTGATGCGCAATAACCATCAGGGGGCAGACGCTCAATGGAGGAGCTGCCCAGCTGTGGTGACTTGGCAGCTGTGGATCCCAGGTGACACACCCGTAACCAGAAAGGAGGGAACCCAAATCCAGAATGTGTCACCCAAGAACCGCCCTCTCGCAATCTGGGACCCCTTGGTGGATACTGGAGGGCTGGTTTTGGCCCAATCCCCACAGGCCAGGCCGGGGGACCCCATCAGTGCACGAATCCGTGCACCAGGCCTCTAGTGTGGCTGTAACTTCACAACCCAGCACCTGAAGAGCATATCTGGAATCTAAGGAGGGAGGATTAAAAAAAACACCCTGAAATCATTTTTTTAAATGCTAATCTATATATATATAAAAGCCTAAGCAACTGAACAAAGAAAATAAAACTATAAACACTTTAAAGTTATTTGTGTAGAGAAGTATTGTTGTTATATGTTACTTAAAAATTATGTTCATTAAAGCCAAATTTGTACTATTCATACTCTTTATCATAGATGTTAAGTTTACCTTAAAAATAACAAGATTGCAAAATAGTGTAAATTAACTGCTCATCACTAAACTTCTAAAGCAAACTACAAAAGTCTTATTTCAATGCTAAGGTAACTAAAAGCATAACCCTTTGCCCTGTCTTGCATCATATATGAAACTTAAAAAGTTTTTATTTTATTTAGTGAAGATGTCTTAATCACAAGTATTTATAAGAAATGAACTTAAATCCCATCATGCTATATCCTATTTGCTATAATTCCTTTGCTCTCAAAATACTTGGAACTGGAGAATGTTAACCTCCAGAGAAATGTCCTTTCTATCCAAGCTGCTTACCTGAATATATTTCCGCTGTGTTTCATCATTTAAAACATGTGCAACATGCTTGGAGAAAATCTTCTCCCTACCCGTTCTGGCATGGATACCAACCATAGTGACACCAATGGGCCAAGGGGCATTTCCAATGGCCATCTGAAGATAAGCATCATTAGCCTAGAAAGAAAGATTAAGAAGAGATCAGAAAAACAGAAATAATGTATTGATCCAAATTTTTATTTCAAGTATTTCACAACTGTGAAATTCATGCTGTAATTTTCATCCATTTCTTAAGCATGTTGAAAATATTACCATCCTCCTTATTCAAACAAAAGAAACTAAAATATGTAATGACTGACTGTCCTGCCCAGGCCACAGATGTCCATGGAAAAACAGAAACCAAAGCTAACCTTGTGTGTAAAAGGACAAACATTCCTCTGCAGCCTCTGTGCACTGACAGTTGACGCATTTCAGATATGGAATTATCAGGTAGGTATTTGATGTACTGACAGACACCCTAGTGTGGATCTCCTTTCAACCTAGTCTTCTCAACAGGCGGTCACACAGAAGACAGAGGCTAGTTTTCCATAATCCAACCTGAAACTATATCCACTCCCTGAACAGCAGTCAGACCTCTGAGAGCAGTGGGAGCTCTGCATGCTGGGACTGTTATATAAGGCCCACAGCAGATGTGTAAACAGATATTAAGTACTGGCCCATGAGTCAAATAGCTAAAGGATGAGACTGGCTCTCCAAACCTCCCACCTGGCAAGAACCTTAAAAATAAAAGCTACGAAATGTAAAGACAGAAACCAATGAAGACAAATGGCTCCTTTTCTAAACCAAACCTGGCGACTTGTGAAGAGGGAAAAAAGAAGTAGTAAAACAAAATAGAAAGCAGGTAAATTCTAAAAGACTCTGAGGGTCTCAGAGAAGCCTACATAGCCAGGCCTCAGAGATTTTAATTTAAAAACATCAAACACATATGTGTTTGATATGCGGTGTTGATTTTTTTAAAAATCAGGTACTACAAATACTAGGCTAACTGATACCTAATTCAAAGGTGTACAAAGAAATACAAATAGGTTAACTGAAAGATCACCTCTACCCTAAAGATAAATTTGGATTTGCTCTACTCATTTTTTTTTCTTTTTTCGCCCGGTCTCAGTCTGAACACACTCCATCACTGGTTTCCAGAACTCAGATTGCGCAGTGGTCTTGTCATCATTGACCAGGGCTAACAGTTATAGCGGAAGAGGTCTCCCTAAGTGTCCCTCATCTCTAGCCTAAGGGGTTGCTCATTTCTCCGTCCTGCTCCCCGGTTTGCCTGACCTGTTATAATACTCTTAGGCTCTGGGCAAGCGTCGCTGCCAATTATATAAGGGGCCCAGTCATATAAGGAAACTACTGTGGATTCATCTGGGGGCTGCATTGGGGACCTGGGGACACCCTGCCCTACAACCCTTGCTGCAGTGCCCCCATACCAACCTCCCGCTCCCACGCTGCGACCCCTGCCACCCACCACTGGCTTAGCTTCTCAATTTTTTTAAAGCTTAATTTTAAAAGGGCAGCCCTGGCCAGTTTGGCTCAGTGGATAGAGCGTCAGTCTGCGGATTGAAGAGTCCCAGGTTCAATTCCAGCCAAGAGCACATGCCTAAAAAAAAAAAAAAAAAAAAAAAAAAACTTGAAAAAAAGAGGGGGGGTGTGTACAAATTTTTATCACTGATTTCTATGTATGTTAATTTTAATACTGGATATTAACTGAAAATTTCCAATATTTACTTTCCCTAAATTTCCAAAGAAAACTCCCCAAATAGGTTATTTCTCAGTTCTTTCTGTAGTTTACACAAAATAAACTTTTACCTGATTCTCATATATGAGAATGAGAAATGTAACAAAAGGAAAGGCAAGTGATCTAAATTCTTTCTGCAGTGATAGTGACCTAACCGTCCATTCCAATGCAGTCCTTAGTAAGTAGCATGCAACTAACAGAAACTATCTAAGAATAAAGTTTATAGCTATAAAACAAAAACATTTTCTTTGATGAAACTAACTGACTCTCCTATAGAGGGAATAAGAACAATACCTTAGGTTCATCAGCATGAGGCTCTGATCAAGGAGACCACCCAATCACCCAGGAAGGCCGCGGTCCCTTCTCGTGAATACAGATACTCAGAGGACAGACATAAGCAATGTCATTCCCACTTTTCTATCAGGGCCTGTCTCCTGTTCTGGAACTGTCACTCCAACTGCACTGAAATGCTTACCTGCTACTCTCTTGGGAGGCACGGTCGCCCAGAGCTCCCCCCGCACCCTCTGCTTATGGCCCACCAAGCATGCCCTTTACCGGTGCACTCGGCCCTTCTCTTCTTGGTCCCCTCCACCAACTGAGAGTCTCCTCTCTCTCTTTCTAAACTCTGCCCCAGCAGCACTGGGACACCAGAGCTCTCTCCCCAGGCCACCTCCTCCCAGAGGCCACCCAGGAGGAAAGACACTGAGACCAGGGAGAAGTCTCCCCTACAAGGGGTCTGCTACTGCTGCAGTCCTGAAACGGGAAAGATGACACTAGGAGCCTGACTTGGAACGTTTCTCATAGGAACACATATAAAGGGTGGTTAAATTCCACTGTATCATTAGTACAACACTTCAGCTATTTTACGAATTAAGTAGATATTTATAGCTACATAGCATTGTTTCTATGGGAAAATTTGTTCTAAGCTATAACCAACAATCTACAAATTTCTAAATTCTGTTCCACTCATGAAATGTACCTTGCCCACATCCAGTACATGATCTTAAGAATTTTTACACCTACCTTTAAAATGACTAAAAAAATACACTGTGGTCTGAAAGTTTAACATTGAATGCCCCACAGTAAAGCTGACAGTACATAAGAAAATAAAAAGTTTTAGTTTTTGGTAGGTTTTGTTGTTAATACTCACCTGAGGATATTTTTCCATTGATTTTTTTTTTAGAGAGACTCAAAGGGAGGGATGGAGAGAGAGAAACACCGATGTGAGAGAGACACATCTACTAGTTGCCTCCTGCACGTGCCAGGACCAGGGCTGGGGAACAAACCCTCAGTGGAGATATGTGCCCTTGACTGGGAATTGAACCCAAGACCCTTCATTGTGTGGGCCAATACTCTACTACTGAGCCACACTGACCAGGGCAAAAGATTTTTGTTTTTTAACTACTAATTCATTTTACATTTCTTCTCAGTTTTATATGTAAAACTCTCCCACACTAAATGAAATATAATGTACACAACCTAGATAGACAAATAACCATACTTCCAAAGCACAGCATGATAATATACCTTCACATATTCTCTCTGTAACATGAGCATGAAACAGACTGATGAATCTTAGAGGGAAAATGGGGAGGAAGGAGAGGAAGAGATTAACCAAAGAATTTTGCACATATATGTATTAGCCATGGACATAGAGAATAAATAGGGTGGAGAAGGCCTGGGGTAGAGCGGGATCCAGGTGGAGAGAGCAAAGTGGAGGACATAGTGGGCACATCTTTAATACTCTCAACAATAAAGAGTAAAAAACAAAAAGAAAAAAGAAAAAAATGCATAACTAATTTTGGAAGCTACTGTGTAGTTACAGACTGCATTTATTCTAATTTTATATATTCTATTTTTAAAAATCAGTTAATAAAAGCATTTTTTTTGAGAAAGCTTACCCTTTTCCGTAGCTTTCTGAAAAGGGGTCTGAGATAGGACTCGGTCTGTTTCTGAGTAGCACTGTTCAGTTTACCCTGCACACTGCGCTTCACATAATCTTCTCTGGCATTCAATTCTTTAGCCCAAACACCAAGAAGAAACTATTGAAAGCATGGGTAAAATTAGACTACAATGCCATCCAGTTGTTGAACAAGTTTAAAGTTCCCCAACACACAAAATAGTTAACTGTCATCCTTAAAACTAATTTCTCAACTGATTACAATACCATCCACTAATATTTAATGAATGAACTATACCTGCTTATTGTCATATGTTTTGAAGAAGCGCTTCTGGCAATTCACAAACTTTCTTATTCTCTATATATTCCTAGCTCAAAGATAATCTATTTTCCCCTAAAAATATTACCTGAGTAACTACCTGATAGAAATAAGCTTTTACTTGCATTTTTATTATATAAAATTTACCTAGATCATCAGCCATATTAATAAATGTGCTGTGATATTTAATGAATCACCCAACTATGTTGTTGTAGTATTTGGACTTTCTACTTTTACAGTAGAAACAACAATTCAATTTAAAATTCCCACTAATGTGCCTAACTTAAAGAGCAGGAAAGAAAAAAAAGGAATAGAAATAAAAGAAACTATAATCCATACCCTCCCCTGTCCCACCCCAGAAAACTACTGTAATGTCCCTTGGGTTTACCTATATACAGAGCACCCTTCTAGAAGCAGTTAAACAGTGAAGGCTGAAGAGAACATACTCCCCTAGTGCCAGTCCCTGTGTAATCCTATATAAGGACAGGCAGTCACTCTCAGAGAAAATTCTAGTTCATATTACCCCGTTCCCATGCCCTATCTAGTTCCCTATCATTTCCTCAATTGATGCAGAATCTTGATGACTAATGTTATATTTAAATTGTAAATGCAAGTAAAAGCATATCTTGCATTTAAATCTCATGGCCTGAACACAAATAATTTATGACTAAATGCTGAAATGAACCTGGGATTTGCACACTCTCTACCTAAAATACTAAAGACAGAAATGCTGAGAAGATGGAATGAGCATATCAGAGGAAGAATAAACAGCTATCTGTAGAAATGAGAAAATGAAATCCCTAAAAGGTTACTGATGTGTTTGCCAATGTCTTCTTACCTCCTTCCTTTTGTTACTGTCATCACCTCTCATAAAAGGTTCTAGAACTCTACCCTCACTATGCTCCTTCCTAGAATGCTTTAAAAAATGTGGACCTCCCCAAACATCTTGTTCATTCCACTGCTATAATTCTTTTCTTTGTGTTTATGTTAGTCAGTTTTTTTAAAGTGCCAAGAGGAACAGAAATATACTGTCTTTGGTTAACCTCTATATCCAAGCACATTGCAATATCATAAACCATGTACATGCCAGAAATGTTTGAGATTTTCTTTCCCAGTCTTTAACTCTTAACAATACAAAAACATAAAAATAGTTCTTAACTAACCAAAATGTCCTCCTTTCTTAGCCTGAAAGTACATACCTTAAGGAATTTGGTAATGATGTCCATGTCTTTATGATCATCACCTTTTCCTAAAGATTCTCCCAATGCCTAAAGAAAAATAATGCTCCTGCTCATTAGTAAAGAGCAACAAATGAATATATGTCATAAACACCAGTCTAAACATGGCTCTTTATCACACAGACTGTCCAATTTCTACTTAAAAACCTAATGGAATTTCTAAATAAAATTTTTTAAAAACAGTAATTTGCCATTTAAATTTTGAAAGCATGCTCTCCTTTATGAATCAAAAGACAGAAGAAGGGGTAAGGGGAGTGATTGCTAATGCATATGAGAATTCTTCTCAGGGCAACAAAATTGTTCTAAAATTAGATTGTGATAATTGTACCATTCCATGAATAGATAGGTGCTATGGTGGTGGTTGGGAGAGTGCAATTAAAAGGACATCCTCCTGTGACATCAACATGTGCAAGAGCAAGGAATGAAAGGGAAAAAAACTAACACTTCACACTATATTAAGAGCTTTAAACTAAGTCATATTGTTTGCTTGAGGTACATATTTAAGTAATATAATACTGCTCTTTAATTGAGATTACATGTAACACTCCACATTTAACACACTGACAAAAATTAGAAAACAAAAGATTGCCCAGTGTTGACAGGGATTATGGATGTACAAGACACCCTACTGGTAGGGTACAGACTAATACAGCCGTCTGGAGAGCAACTTAGCAGTCTTAGACAAGTTAATTATACATAAACCCAGCGATCCCACTTCTGAGTCCATTGGGATGATGCACAAGATTATTCTTCACAAAGCTGTTTGTGGTTACAGAGAGCAGGGAGCAATCTAGTTGTTCATATTATGGAGGAACACAAGGAAAAGACAGTGAATGCCACAAGATTTAAAGTATTAGCAGTTAAAAGCAAATGTTTAGACATACATAAGGCATCAAGGATGGATTTTAAAAACAGTTCAAAGAATGAAAAGGAAAAAGCAGAAAGAATTTCACAGTACAATACCATTTATGGAAATAAAAAACACATGCACACAAAACACTACTAATTATAGAAGACCAACAACAAATAAAATAATGCACATCAAACATACTCGAATGACTACTTTTAAAGGCAGAGAGTAGGGAATGTGAGTGGAGAATGAGAAAAAAAGAGACTGAATGAATGAAAGCATGAAATGAAAGAAGGGCCTTTGTAATGACCAAAACCGACAGTATGCTCTGAACAGAGTAATCTGATGAACTCAACCATTTGTTGCAGGGAATGAAAGGAGTAATGGGGCACGAGGTAAGGTGGATGTAGATATTACCTCTAACTCTTCAATTGTGGTGTTTTCTTCATGAACTTTCAAGTCATTCTGTGTGTCTTCCTCTCCAGGCTCTTGACCACCCACAAGTTCATTGAGGTATTGCTGATCAATCTTATCCAAAGCTGCTTTCAGATCATTCCTCAATCCCTGAGAAAGGTGAAAATTATACCTAGTTTGAAATTTCACTGATCTTTCACTTGATTTTTCACCAATCTTACCTAATAATAGACAAACATGTAAGCTGACTATACCTTTACTATGCTAACAAGCCAATCAGGAGAGTATGCAAATTAAGCCAACAAAGATGGCGGGTAATTTGCCTACATAGGCTCCAAGTGGCGGAGCGAAGACTGAAGGTGAACCGGAGCAGTGAGGACGGAAGACGGAAGGTGTCTCCGGCCGGAGCGAAGGCCTGGGCCCCGGGTGCCGGAGGAAAACCGGTGCCGACAGCCAGGAGAAGGGAAGGCCTATTGCACGAATCTCTTCGTGCAACAGGCCTCTAGTAATAAGTATAATTCATCTCAGACTACCAGTCAAGAGGGCAGAGTAGATAAACACTATATTTGCCTCCTCCTGTGACCATATCAAAATTACAATTTAAATGGTACAACAACCATCATTGAGAACCACCTGAAGGCTACTATGAACTCCAAAAACCTTCAGAAATGTCAACAGTATAAAACTAGTGTCTCCTCTATATCCTAGGCTAGCAACTACATTTCTAACACCAGCAAATTCCACATTCTATTAACACCCAGTTTGTGACTATTAATAAAAATGAAAGCCTTAAACCCTGGCTGTTGTCGCTCAGTGGTTAGAGTGTTGGCCCTAGCACCAAAGGGTCATGGGTGCAATTCCTGGTCAAGGGCACATATCTGGGTTGCAGGTACAATCCCCAACCCTAGTCGGGGTATGTGCAGGAGGCAACCAACTAATGTGTCTCTCACATCAATGTTTCTCTCCCCCTCCCTCCTTCCCTTCCACTCTCTAAAAATCAATGGGGAAAATATCCAGGGGTGAGGATTAACAAAACAAAAAATGAAAGGAAGGAAGGAAAAAAGGGAAGAAGGGAGGGAGGAAGGGAGGGAGGGAGGGAGGAAGGAAACACTTTAAGCTGAACCCTTAACTTACACAATATATAAAAATTAACTCAAAAGGGATCAAAAACCTAAATCCAAGAGCTAAAACTATAAAACACTTAGAAAAACATAGGGGGAAAGCTTCATGACATTGGATTTGGAAATGATTTCTTATATACAACAGCACAAGCACAGGCAACAACTACAACAAAAATAGAAAAGTTAAAAAGTTTTATGCATCAAAGACACTATCAATAGAATGAAAAAGTAACCCAAGGAAAGGGAGAAAATATTTGCAAATCATATATCTGATAAGGATTGATATCCAGAACACAAAGAAACTCCTACAACTTAAAAACAGAAAATAACCAACAGGATTAAAAATGGGCAAAGGACTTGAACAAGGCATGCAAATGGCCCATAGCAAACGAAAAGATGCTCAACATCACCAGTAAGTAGAGACCACAATGAAATATCACTTCACACCCATTAAGATGGCTATGATAAACAAACAAACCAGAAAATAACAAGTGGTGGCTAGGTGTGGGAACCATGCCAGCTCCCCAGATAGTCAAGGCCGATGAGAGCACAGAGGCCTTGTTATCAATACACCAGAATAGCCAAATGCCGCTCTGAGCATGAGCCTAAATGGGATGTTCAAGGACTCTGAGCCTGGGAATCCTAATCAGACCAAGAGACCACGAGTGGCTGCAAGGCCATAGCCCTCTGACAGTACACTGTGCCCTTCAGTAGCCAATATGATTGATGTAACTATTGGCACAAAGCCTTCTTTGTCTAAATAGTAAAAAAGTAAGTTACTGACCAGCTAGTAAGCTAGAGTATGGAGAGAGAACAGCTAGGATGGAGTGTGTGAAGAAGTCTGCTAGAGAAAGCAGCTGGGCAAGAGACAGGAGAAGCTGCTGAGCCAGAGAACTCAGGTACCACTATGATATGAGGCAGTAAGTCTAGGAGGCAGCGTGCAGCTGCTCAGATAATAGCTGTGGGTACAGAGACTGATGCTGCTTTATGGGATTTCTACCAGCTGGTGTCTGGCTGCCTGCCTGTATGGACTTTCCTGTGAGGACTGTTCTTGTCTGATGGCTGTGTGGCCACTGGCTTCTGCAACCAAGACTCATTCTTATACACCCGCAACCTCTCATGGCTTCTCCATCTAAGACCCAGCATTCACGGAGGTCCATCCCTAGGCAGGGGGGCTCAGACCCAACACCTGTATCTAGTGAGCAGAGGATAAAGGGGGAACTTGGACTAAGTTCCCAACAGTTAGTACAGTGGGCAGGGTTAGAGGAAGAACCAGCCCTGGTATAGTCAAGTGGGAGAATTTAGAAGAATATATGGACTCAAAGCCACTCAGAACACCAGAGCTCAGGCCGGGCTCTGACACTAGCATATAAATAAATGGGACACGTTGCACTGCTGGAAATGTAAAATAGTGGAGCTGCTGTGGGAAACTGTTGGCAATACCTCAGAAAGTTCAACATACCCACGCCAAGACACATTATAATTAAAATGTCAAAAAATAAACACAAGTAGAGATCTTAAAAGGAGCAAGAGGGGAAAAAAAATTGTTATATACAATGAAACATGCATAAGACAATCAGCAGTTTTCAGCAGAGACACTTTGCAGGCCAGAAGGCAATGGCACAATACGTTCGAAGTACTGAAAGAAACAAAGTTCCTACCAAGAATACTCTGCCTGGCAAAATTATAATTCAGAATTGAAGAAAAGATAAAGAGTTTTCCAATAAAGCAAAAATTAAAGTTCATCTCCACTGAACTGGCCTTACAAGAAATTGTTAAAGGGATTTTTTAAACTGAAAAGAAAGCTAATTAATAAGAAAACAATATGAATGTATAAATCTCATTGATAAAGGTACATACAGAGTAGTGAATTAATCATGTACAAAGCTAGTATGAAGGTTAAGACAAAAGCAATAAAAATAATTATAATTACAGAAATTAGGGATACACAAGATAAAAAGATGTAAAATGTGACATCAAAAACATAAAACATGGGCTGGGTGAACTAAAAATGTAGAACTTTAGAACTTGTTCAAACTTAAGTTCTTACCAACGTAAAACAGACTGTTCCAGCCTTAGCCGGTTTGGCGCAGTGGATAGTGTCAGCCCGTGGACTGAAGAGTCCCGGGTTCCTTTCCTGTCAAGGGCACATACTTTGGTTGCAGGCTTGATCTCTGGCCCTGGTCAGGCATGTGTGGGAGGCAACCAATCAATTAGTCTTTCTCACATCGATGTTTCTCTCCTTCTGTCTCTCTCCCTCTATTCAATGGAATATGTTTCAGCCCTTTTTTAGAAAAAAAAAAAGAAAGAAAGAAAGAAAGAAATTCTGCCCTGGCCAGTTGTTCAGTGGTTAGAGCACTGGCCCACAGACTGAAGGGTTGTGGGTTTGATTCCTGGTCAAGGTACCTGGATTGTGGGTCTGCTCCCCAGCTCCAATCGGGGCATGTGCAGGAGGCAATCAATCAATGTGTCTCTCCTGAACATCCATGTTTTTTTTTTCTCTCGGTCTCCACCTTCCTCCCTTCTACTCTCTTTCAATGGGAAAAAATATCCTCGGGTGAGGATTTTAAAAAAAGGAAATTCTGACACATGCTACAAGATGGATGAACCTTAAAGGTTTTATGATAAGTTAGAAGACAGATCCAGTGGAGCCTTCAGATGATCTTAACCACTCACCTAACTGCAACCACGTGCAAGATCCTGAGCCAAACACTGCCAGCTTACCCAATCAGACCACAGAACTGTGAGAGATAATAAATTATCTTCAGTTACTAGGTTTCAGAATGATTTGTGATAGTCATAGACGACCGAAAAAAAATTTATAATAAATTGTTTTAAGCTACTAAGTTTTTGGTGGTTTGTTACACAGCCATAAATAACTACACCTGTTTCTAAATAATTGCTAGAGCAAGTAGATGATAAAGCCTCAGAATCTCTGAACAACACTATTGTAAATGACATTTATCCCAAAGCATAAAAAATAAAACAGACTCTTTTCAAAAGCCCATGGAATATTAACCAAAAGAGACCATATGCTGAGCCATAAAACAATATCAGAACTCTAAATGTAAAAGCTAAAACTGTTAAACTAAAAAAAAAAAAAATACAGAAGACTGTTTCTTCAAGACCTTGGGACAGGCAAAGGTTTCTTAAGTAAAATACCAAAAGCAATAAGCATAAGACCAAAAGCTGATAAAGTGGACTTCACCAAAATTTAAAACTCTCCCCCACAAAAGAAACGAATAAGAGAACAGGTAAACCATAGAATAGGAGAAAATAGTCACAAAATATATATCTGTATCTCACAAAGGACTTCTATCCAGAATAAATGAAGAACTTCTACAATTCAAAAATAAAAAGACAACCTAACTAAAACATGAACAAAACATTTTAATACACACTGCACAGAGAAAATATAGCCTACAGAATTCCACAAGAAGATGCTCATAATCTTTAGTTATCAGGGGAATGTGAACACAACCACAATGAGATACTATTACACATATAAGAAAATGGTTAAAATTTAAAAGACTAACAATAAAAATGCTGATGGCATTTGGAAATATTTGGCATTTCTTAAAATGTTAAGCATACATTTACTCTTACTATTCAGCAATTCCACTTCTCCATATTTATCCAAGAGAAATAACATAGGTTCAAACAAGATTTGTATAAGAATGTTCAGAGCAGTTTCATTCATTACAGCCCAATATTGAAAACATTATAGTATATTCATAAGACTGAATACCATCAGCAATGAAAAGGAACAAACTACTGATAACCGCAATAACATGGATGAATCTAAAAAATGTAATGCTGATCAAAAGAAGCCAGGCACTATGACTTCATCTATAAGAAATAGTAGAACAAGCAAAATTAATCTATGGTGATAGAATTTTATAAAGTGGTTGCCCATGAGTAGAAAAGAAGGATAGGGGATTGGCCCAGTGGGGGTGCTGGAGAACTTCCTTGGGTGATGAAAATGTTCACAAGGTTGGTGGTTACAAACTTGGATGTATTTGTCAAAATGCACTAAACAAACATAAGATAGGTACTTCAAAAAAATTTTTTAAACTTATATTCATCAGCACTCTCCTGGCAACTTTTTCATTTTTTCCTCTAATAATGCAATGGGTCAGACATCAAACTTCACACTATTCTAGTTTATGTGATACAGTGATATTCTTCTAGCTTTGGTCTGATTTCTTACCTTGTTAACTTCTGGTGTCAGGATCTCTATTTTTCTTAAACGCTGAAAAGCATCATAATCAGTTTCTCCAAATAGTCTGATTGGTTCTCCTCTTTCTCGCAATCTTCTGATAACCTATTGTTTTTTAAATCAAAAGATAGTAGTAATTCCTTATGTTGTTAGTAATAGCAATTCCTATTTTAGGTGACCAAACACTTATTTTGAAATGCCAGTTGGAAAAGTTAGGTTTATTTTTTCTTTAATTTCCCATGAACAAATATACTGAGTCATTGTCACACCTTAAACAGTCTTAATGGGTTAGGTTTTTTGGCTGGTTCAGTAAAGTCACAATTTGTATAATCGAATACATAAGAAAAACATTAAGATGGTAGCAAGTGATAATATTCATATCGAGAAGGAAAATAAAGTTTGGAGTCAGCTGATAATGCAGCTGATGACCACAGCCAAGGTCAGCATTGCAATACTACTTTTAAACCAAACACTGTCTCTTAGGAGAGAAAGTGAGTATGATCAGGATGGGGCATATGCGGGGCTTTTGAAGGGCTGATAATACTACTCTATTTCTCCCTAACTAGTTTGGCTCAGTGGATAGAGCATTGGCCTGCGGGCTCAAGGGTTCCAGGTTCGATTCCGGTCAAGGGCATGTACCTTGGTTGCGGGCACACCCCCAGTGGGGGGTGTGTGGGAGGCAGCTGATTGATGTTTCTCTCTCATCAATGTTTCTAACTCTCTATCCCTCTCCCTTCCTCTCTGTAAAAAATCAGTAAAATATATTTTTAAAAAAATACTACTCTATTTCTTGACTTAGATGATAGTTATACAGGTGTTTGTTTAATAATTATCCATTGTATTAAACATATGTGTTTTATACGCTATATACATGCTATAGTTCACAAAAAGGAGAAACAAAAATTATAATAAGTTTATCCAAATAAAAAAAATACCAAGAACTTTATCTGGGAACACACTTAGAAACCACTGGTAGGGCTCCCAATGGATTAACTGAAGCTTGATATTAAAAAGAAACTTAAGAGGTCATCTATCGCTTTCTCTAATCAATGCTGAATTAACTCCCAAAAACAACTGTCAGGTCACAGACAAATGACAAGAACCACATCTCTTCATGAAACAGCCCACCCCATTTCTGGATACGTTTGCTTCTCAAAATAAACTAAAATCTACCTCCCTTAACTTTCTATTCATTTATCTTAGCTCTATTTTATGGAACCACAGAGAATATTCAATTCCTTTTCAAAATTAGAGCTGTGGTCAATAAATTCTTTTAAAAGTATTTAGGCTAATTATTCAAAATACCTTCCTCTCATTTTCACATGACAGCCTCCAGAGTTAGCCATCTTTTCCTATGAAAGTTTCCTTTTGTTCAAAGTTCACTTTTGTTTTGTACCTTCTGAAGAGTTTGAATTCTTTATATCACATAAATATCCTTAAAAAATATTTTTAAAGAAAATGATAATTGATCTTGACCAGGGTATGGGCAAACACTACAAGTGAGAGTATAAACTGGTATAACTAGGACAGAACCCTCTGGTAGTATGTATCAAAAGTCTTAGAAATGTACATAGACTTTAATCTTTAGTACATACACTCCAAATATCACACTTCTAGAAGATTTTCCAAAGGAAATAATCATACATTATTATGCATGCAATCATGTTTATAGAAGGATATTCCTCTAAGTATGATTCATAAGAGGGAAATGCTGAAGTAATCTAAATGACCATTAATAAAGAACTGGCTTTAAAAATATGGGAAAGTATATGGTCATAAAAAATTATACATATATATTTTTTGACCTAGAAAGATGTATTAAAAGAAAGTAAGTTATAAAATAGTACATTATTTAAAATAATTTAAGTATAATTATCTAGAATATATACATTTAAAACAGTATTTAGCCCTAACCAGTTTGGCTAAGTGGTAGAGCGCCGGACTGCGGACTGAAGGGTTCCAGGTTCGATTCCAGCCAAGGGCACATGCCCGGGTGGTGGACTTGATCCCCCCAGTCCCAAGTAGGGGGTGTGCAGGAAGCAGCTAATCAATGATTCTCTCTCATCATTGATGTTTCTGTCTTTCTCTCCCTCTCCCTTCCTCTCTGAAATCAGTAAAAATATATTTAAAAAAAACAAACAAAAATACAGTATTTGCTTTTTTAAAGTTTAGAATGATAGATACTTTAAAAATTTTAACATAATAGTATCAAGAAAGGCAGAGGAGGCCCTGACTGGTTTGGCTCAGTGAATACTGCGTCGACCTGCAGACTGAAGGGTCCCAGGTTCAATTCTGGTCGAGGGCATGTAAAAAAAAATAATAAAATTAAAAAAAAAAAAGGCAGAAGTAATTTATTAGTAGAACCCCATGAAGAAAACTGGCTAGCTGCACAGTAACTGTGTTCAATAAGTCATCTTATATGGGAAATAATGACAAAAAACTATTGGGTAGAACTAAAGATTAATGTAAATGTTCTGCAGAGTTTTTTGTTGTGTTTTTTGTTTTGTTTTGTTTTTCATGAAACTATATATAAACTTACCTCTTGCCTAGAAAGGGTCATTGGTAATTTTTCCTCTGCCAGTTCAAGTTCTAATACTGGATTCGATGAAGTTAATGGTTTCTGGTCATCCTCTTTTGGCTGTATCTATATTAACAGCAAAAAAAAAAAAAGAAGTTCAGCTTTTAAAATATAGTTAGCATTTGTCATTCTATTAGATTAAATGTTCAAGACAGTTAAACATGTTTTAAATATTGAAGGTCTAAATGTTCCTCCGAGGAAAGAGCTCATAGTAAATATCCAGCTTTTAAGAGTTTACTAGTATCAAACCATTTCAGGGACAGCACACACAGAAAGCATGCACATCAGCGACAACATTCTTGCTACAGAAAAGTGACATTAAGTATAATGGTTTCCAAAATCAAAGCCGTAAAAGAGCTGAAACTTAGACTCACTTTCTCCTTCAACTCTAAAGAATTTGACTTTGTTTTTTGGGAAAAAAAATCAACCTGCTTCTCCTCTTCGAGAAAATCATCCTGTAGGATTGCCTGATTCTTACTCTGGGTTTAAAATGAAAGTCAAAAACAGGAACTGCGCTCTAACAGAAGCCCGTGAAGCTTCAAGAGCCAGCTTTTTCCTACCCTACTTTTTGAAAGGCATTATTCCAAGCGCACAGAAATCACTGTTGGAAATGTAGAAAAATTTCCAATGCTACACAGAACTTTTCCACAAAAGTGAGCTACAAACCTTGTGAGAAAACAATGAAAAACAGCACCTCTCTACTCATACCACACAAAGAAAAGAGTGAACATTCTTGTTGATATGAACCTGCAGGGAAAAAAATCTCTTCATATATTTTCTTGAGTCTGCCGCCCAAGTCACAGTTTGGGAAAATTGAGTTCAGCAATTTATAAGCCCCATTGTGTGGTCTGTAAAAAGATATTGAAACATGGTTTCCCAACTGACCATAAGACCAATCTAAAATGCCAAAAGAAGAAAAAAACAACAACACAAAAGAAGATCAACTTTAAGGAAAAATTCATTCAACTAAGAAAGGCTAAATGGTTAAAATTATATAACTTATGATTCTATAGTTTATGATTAACAGTTACGTTTATCAGTATTAAGTGTAACAGAAAATTGAGATAAAAACTAAACTTTCATATTTTCACAAACCAAATCAGCATCAAGCCTTAAAAAAATGGGAACTAGTTTATATAAAGGAATAAAATAATACATGCAATATTTTCATTATTACCAAGAAGGAAATACTAAAAATGTTTAAGAAAGAACAACCTCTGCTTTCTTTATAAGCATAAAAACAGGTCATTTCTCAAAAAATCTTAGGATGAAAAGTAGTTTTAATTAAGGAATGGCAGCTGGGCTCGACATTACAAGCAGTACCTTTACAGTAATTATTTTGCTTCAGTGCTTTTCTCTGTAAGCAAGGAAGAACTGCGCTATCACTGAAGCAACCTAAGCAAAGCAAAACTGCCACCATAGTCTTACATTCTTTTCCTACCTTATCAAAAAGATGAAAGGTTGAAATTTAGGGATCTTGGAAAACAAGTCAGCAGACTATACCCAGGGTAAGTAATTCTTATTCCAAATCAAATTGGAGTTACACAATGTTGGGGGGCAAGCGAAAGATGAGAATTCTTTCTGAATATGTATCCAATGGTTACTAACACAAAACATTATTTTAATTTCCTAAATTAGAAGCAAACGAAATCAATATATTCATGGAAAATATCAAAATACCAATATAAATTTTCATAATTTAGAAGCCTATCAGAAATATAACATTTTTAAAACTTGCCCTCTCCCAACACTACAAAATAAAACCAAATGCATATACATACCATTTGCATTATTCATGCATCCCTCTAGAAATGCTATGCCAGATAAATTAATTTCCAGAACTTTTAACATGACATGCACAAGAGTATTATTTTATATTGATGTTTCACAAGCAAAAAGTTATTTCAAACTTATGATTTAGCAAAAGAGAGCCTTCTGAAATTTGGTTTAAAAATTATTAAACTAGATATAGTCTTTTTAAAATAATTTAAACGTAACCTTTAACCCCTCCCAATAAAAAACCCCAATGTTATTCAACTAGGTAATATCAAAGATAATTTCAGTCATGGTTCTAAAATGTACAGTCTTCCAGACAACTCATTTGTTTCGAACAAATATTTCAATATTACATCTTCTATCCAATAGACTGAGCAGTGTTTGAAATGTGGTTCCTTATACACAAAAGCATATAAATGTTATACGGCAATATATTTCAGGCAGAGGTGCTTAGGCGAAAAGGAATTATTAACAATGTAAACATAAAAACTGGTTTAAAATATTCAGTAGAAAGCAGGGGAAATACCACTGCTAATACCATTGTTATTGAATGAATAAAATGTTTTTAGCCCTTTAAAAATAGACTTTTATTGGGAGAGGTGGAGTGAGGGAGTGGTGGGGAGATGAAAATGAGGCAGCATCAGATCCAGGACTTAATTTAAAAAAAAAAAAAGAAAAGAAAATCAAGCTTTGATCTCAAGCCACTTCATGCTGTCCACAGAAGGCCAAACCATTCCAAGCCAAAAGTCATGCATGTATTTTCCTAAATTCAAGATAAAAAAATAAAGAAAAACAAAAACAAAAATTCATACCTCTCCAGATGGCTTCTCATTTATAGGCTAATGTATAACATTGATAAATTGAACAGAGATCAATAATTTTGTCACTTTAACAACAGCTGTATAAATTTAAACTCAGAAATAAGACAATGTAACATAAAAGCAGGGATTCATACCTTGTAGCCACATCTTTCGTAATATGCTTCCTCTTCTTTTTTTGCAAGTTCACTACGCTTGAAATATTTTTTATTTTCCTATTGAAGAAGAAGTGAGTTAATAAAATATCCTTGCTTAAAATTTAATGTCCCCTAATCAACACCTGAAAACACTCTTCAGTTTTTCAAGAAATGGTGAAGGTTTTTGGTTGCATAGAAATTATATTGATTTCCTGAACACACCTGTACTCAACCTCTACATTTGAAGTACATATTTTTCTTGCAGTATCATTTTAACAGGCATATCCAACAGCAAAGAGAAGAAAACAATATTTCCCAAATGTTCACACTTTTAATTTCCCAATAGTTGAGTTCAGTGATAATCTCTACAAATGTATTTATTATGAACCACATAAAATAGAATGCTTTAGTTTTTTTTTTCATCAGAAGTAATCAAACAGAAATTATGGTATCTATAGCTAACATCTTACATCTCATTACCAAGAGAGTTCCAAGAGTGTGTCCAAATTCTTTTCATCATCTAAAAACCCTATTATATCAATTAATTGTATTTCATTAATCCTTAAAATTGAATTAATCAATTCTTAAAATAATCTAGGCATAGAATGGTTTTAGAGAGTCTTTTTATTTAAAGACAGTTTAAAGGCATTTGTTTTAATATGACTTGATGTCAAAAGAGACAAGCCCTAAATCTATTATAATGGTGAAAAAAAAACATTAGTTCTTCCTACACTAGTACTACATATAAAACTATCCGTGCTGTTAAATCTACAGTCACTAATTTGGAGGCTTGTTGCTATCTACAGCTCTTATTCCATTAATGACTTGACTCAAAGACGCTGCCTTGCCTTGGTCAGTGTGGCTCAGTTGGTTGAGTGTTGTCCCATGCACCACAAGATGGCGGGTTCGATTCCCGGTCAGGGCCAGGGTGCAGGTTTGAACCCCGGTTAGGAGGCAGCCAATTGATGTTTCTCTCTCACGTTGATGTTTCTCTCTCCCTTCCTCCCTCTCTAAAATCAATAAAAACATTTGAAATTCTTTATTGTTTAAAGTATTACATGACTCCTTTTTCCCCCATTGACCACTCCCCGCCTTAAAGGGAGGGCAGAAGAGGGGGTAAGAGATCAACCAAAGGTCTTGTACGCATGCATATAAGCATAACCAATGGACACGGACAGTAGGGGGATGAGGGCCTGTGCTGGTGGGCGGGAATGGGCGGGGAGAGGTCAATGGGGGGAAAAAGGAGTCATGCAATACCTCTTATCCCTTCATTTCTCCCCTCATTTTCAGCAAGTGACTAAGCCAATCTACAAAGAAATGAAAAGCCATGAAACAAGAATTTCTCCAAATTCCTCCCAGCACCAAACCGAACCTGGATCTGTACCAATCCCTTCATCATTTCAGAATGGAAGGGGAAACCATCCTCCTAGTTAAGGCCAATCCCTTCCAAATGTATTCCATCAATTCCTCCTGCCTTTCTCAGGGATGTCTCATAGAAGACTGTTGCAAGTAAAGGGGTAAACAAGTGTGAGGAAAGGCAAGTCCAAGGAACTGAAAAAGTTCAAAAGTTCAGTAGAGCCAGGAGGTAATGGCATGGAGATTTTTACCAGCATAGAAATTACTAGGTTTTTTTTCTTCTATTTTTTGTTTTTAAAAATTACTAATTCTTGACCTTTTTGAGTCAAAGATCCCTTTAATAATATCATACACAGGAGAAAGGAAAGAGGGGGCATTTATATTATATAACTACATGCTAAATTTTTTTATAAAATTTCAAGAAGCTGATGGATATTCTGAAGTCCATCCAAAGGCTGCATTTAAGAAACCCTGAAATAGATGGTAACTGAAATCTAGAGGTGGCTATAAAATTAATATAAGAGAATATTCAGTGTGGAGAGAAAGTGGCCTAGGCCTGAACTTTATAGAAAACCAACATTTACAGGGAAAAAAAATCACACACACACACAAAGAAGAAGTCTTTCAAAAAGATCAAGAATAAGCAGCCTGATAGGTCGAAGGAAAAATAGGAAGCTGTGGCAGAAGAAATGCCAAGGGAAGAATGAAGGAGGACGACCAGCCAAGTGTGTCAAATGCTGTTGTTAGTCAGGAAAATGGAGGTCACTGTTGTCACAGTATCACTGTGGGGGCAGAAACCAGTTTGTATCTGGTGAAGGAATGAGTGAGAATTAAAATTTATTTTAGGACGCTTGGCTATGCCCTAGCAGCATCTGTAAGGCATGGACCAGATGTGGCTGATGACAGCAACCCAGCTCCGCTCTGCCGCCCTTTTGCTCCTACTTGTGCCCTCTTGGTCCCGAAAACAGTTAATAGGCAGAACCCCATCCAAAGCCTCCCGAGAGGCTTTCTCAGGCACCCAAGGGGGGCTGTGCAGACCAGTGCTGAGGGTAACAGCTACCTCTCTCTAAGCTCCACTGCCCCGTAGGCCAAAGGCATGGCCAAGGTCATTTTCAATTTAAAAAAAAAAAAGAGGGAAATGCCAGCTGGCCTGGCTCAGTGGCTGAGCGTCAACCCATGAGCCAGGAGGCCATGGTTCAATTCCCAGTCAGGGCGCATGCCTGGGTTGTGGGCTTGGTTCCCAGTGGGGGGCGGGCAGGAGGCATCCAATCAATGATTCTCTCACCATTGATGTTTCTATTTCTCTCTTTCCTTCTCTCTTCCTCTCTGAAATCATGTAAAATATATATATTCTTTAAAAGATTGGCTATAAAGAAAAAAGATGCTGCTTAAAAACACACACACAACAACAAACCTTTTTAAAAATGGGAGAGACATTTTTATGTTTCATTGCTGATGGAGATAAGCCAGTAGACAGACTACCTGGCCAGTGTGGCTCAGTGGTTGAGTGTCAACCCATGAACCAGGGGGTCAGGGTTCAATTCCCGGTGGGGGCACATGCCCGGTTAGCGGGCTCGATTCCCAGTGAGGGCTGTGCAGGAGGCGGCCAATCAATGATTCTCTCTAATCATTGATGTTTCTATATTTTTCTCTCCCTTTCCCTTCCTCTGAAATTAATGAAGAAAGAAGGAGCGGGGGGGAGAGGGGGAGAGGGGGGAAGCAGCAGCAGCAGCAGCAGCAACTTGACTATAGCCCAGCTGGTGTGACTCAGTGGTTGAGCGTCAACCCATGAGCCAGGAGGCCATGGTTCAATTCCCAGTCAGGGCGCATGCCTGGGTTGTGGGCTTGGTTCCCAGTGGGGGGCGGGCAGGAGGCATCCAATCAATGATTCTCATCAGTGACATTTCTATCTCTTCCTCCCCAAAATCAATAAAAATATATATATTTTTTAAAAACGCATCAGGCTCCCGGTGCCTAAGAGTGGGTATGTACTAAACATTTGAGAAATGCCTCGGAAATGAGCGAGAAAGAACAGTAGCACTTTGTCCATTCCCATTCCAGAGCCATCAGAGCTGGATGGATCCCTAGAGATGACCCAGCCAGACCCCTCATTTACAAACAGGGAAACTAAGGCACAGTCTCCTGCTGATGCAAAAAAAAGCTGAGCTGGGATCCAATGTGCAGGTAGAAGTTTTGACCCCAAGCTGTAACTGATACCTCATTCTATTCAACAGAGAAAAAGAGAAGAGATTTCTGGCCTTTTGGCTTCTTTTTTTCTGTAAAATTGAATGCATGCATGGTCTTTAAAGAATCAAGCATTACTGTATTTTTAATCCTCTGAGGCAGAGTGTAGTATCATGCATATGAGAAACATCCAATAAATATAATTCTACACAAATCTTCATAACTAATAACTAATGAAACTTCTAATTATGTCCCAACAGCCTAGTTTTCCCCATAAAGAGGTGTTGCATTAAGTGAAGATTTTCCAAACCCAGGGCTCAAAAGCATTGGTATTCAAGCAATTACGTCACAGTAGTTACACCAGACAGAATGTTTTAGGACAGGTGGCAGGCGGCTTAGGAGGCTTATCTTAGGAGCTTCTGCAGTTTAACAAAGGGGCAGTCACAAGGTGTTTACTATTTCAACTGTCAGACTAACAATAAAAAGCTAGGACATAACTTGAAATGACCAAGAATACAGGTGTTTTCCAGCTAAAGATATAGCAATGAAAACCATTCAGTGATCTCCAATCAGCATTTTTTTCTAAATGAAACAGAGTGGATTAAAATAATAAAACAAATTATAGGATCACATGTGACTAAGGTAAGAATTATCTCATGAAACTTTTTTCATATATATCAGAACAAAATATAAAAAAATATTTCTTGCCCTGGCTGGTTTAAAATATATTTAAAAATATATATATTTTATTGATTTTTCACAGAGAGGAAGGGAAAGGGATAGAGAGTTAGAAACATTGATGAGAGAGAAACATCGATCAGCTGCCTCCTGCACACCCCACACTGGGGATGTGCCTGCAACCAAGGTACATGCCCTTGACCGGAACCGAACCTGGGACCTTTCAGTCCGCAGGCCGATGCCCTAATCACTGAGCCAAACCGGTTTCGGCAAAATATATTTTTAAAAAAATATTTCTTACTGTGGCTGGAGCAGTGAAAAAGTATGAAAGTTACTGACACTATGATGCAGAAAGATAAAGGCTATAAAGTAACAGGTTCTATACAGCTATAAATTACACAGCTATAAATCAAAAGACTATTCCCATGCATACAAGAAAAGATGTCTGGTTACACATATTCTCTTATACAGGTACTCCTCGACGATACTGCTGGTTAGGTTCCAGAACACTGCAATAAAATGAGTGCTGCAATAAAGCGAGTTGTAACTTTTTTGCTGATGGAGGGTCTTCACCTTACATTGTAAAAGATGCAAACATCTGTGGGGGGCAATAATGTGAAGCACAATATAATGAGGTATGCTTGCATTATTCAAGAGCACTCACTTACCTGATCATGCATATACGTACATTATAAACCTGGAGGGTGAGGGGGGAGAGCTCAGATTTTTGTGATTCAATTTTCCCTCTAAAGTACTTAAATTTCAACATCCCGGCTTTCCTAACACCAGCTATGCATTCCAACATCTAAATTACTTTTTTCAAATACTCTCAAATCACTTACCTGAAGAAAAAGGTCCCTGAAGATATTAAGTTACAAATATGGGCAAGCTTTCCCCCCCCCATCTGCTAAATAATATTCTATTTAAGGAGCTCTATATTGCCAAGTATTTTTAAAGTTTCATTGATTATGAAATCAGCCATCCACCAAACAATTCCAACTTGCACTACACCATATATATTAATACTACATTCCATCCAAGGACCTAAGCAGATATTTTCCAAGTGTGATCCTCAGACCCCTGGGATCCTGAAGATCCTTTGAGAGTCTGTGAAGTCAACTCTTTTCAATACTAAGGTACTGTTTCCCTGTACCCTCTGGGGTCATCTGTACTGAGGGTGAAAGGCAATGGTAAGTCTCCGGGTGCCTTGGCAAGTATTCCTACAGCACTTCTCCTTTCTACAGAAGTATGATGAGAAAGCACTTGCGTGATTAAACTGCAAGCTAAACCCGCTGCTTTTATCGTGTAATATCATTGTCACAGGAAAGAATATCTACAAACTATACTAACTCAGACTTAACTTCCAAAAAGTGAACCTGCCACTTCTGGGAAACAACTGATAGTATTTGCTGCCTATGATAAAATTCCAGCTTTCAAGTGAAAAATAAAATTGTGGAGATCTTAGACCTGCCAACATGAGCTTGACGGCGGTCCAATACATAAAGAAATTTCTCGTGATGTCCCTCTTGATATTAAATAATGTAATTTTAAAAATATGGTGTAATGAAATATGGTGTAATCAACATCTGGAAGATCTACATAACTCTGAACCAATACTTTCAAATAATCAATGAATTAACATATAAATACCTTTAAAGCGTCTCAGTTTTCATTTGTAATACAGTAAAATATCGATAAACACTTAAACAAGAACATAATAAATACGACAACTGAAAAAAACAAACAAACAAAAACAAACAAAAAAAACCACTTAAACAAAAGCCCTTTGGGATCCTCACTAATTTGGAAGAGTGTAAAGGGGTCCTCAAACCAAAAGCTTTGAGAACCGATGATCTAAGTTACTGTTATGCAACAAAGTAATGGAGATCAACTTAAGGAAGTTCCTAATCCTTCTCTTTCTCCCCTGTTTCTCCACCAGCGTTAGCCTCCCCTTCGGTGAAGAGCTGACCGACAGACCGACCTTTCTATGTGTATTGCGGGCAGGGGGGATAGAAAATGTAACAAATAACCGGTTTTACTAGTCGGAAGGAATCAAATACTTTAAAAGACTAATTCTGAGTCTGCCCTTCCTCTAGGCTTCAGTTGGGCACAAACCGTGAGTAACACCACCATACAGGTGAGGGACAGAACTGGGGCAGAATCCCGAACAACACCGACAGGTGGGCGTGCGGTAAGGCGCTGAGAACCTGCGCGGGAGGGAGGGGCAAATGTGGGGGTGGGGGTGGGCGTCTGCCAAAACCCTGGGTTTTCCTGCCACTCCCCCACTTTCTCGGGAGGCTGCCGAGTAGGGAGTGTAGGGGAGGGACAGTGGAGGGGGGGCAGGGGGAGGCTGTCGCTCACCCCCGGCCTCCCGCAACCCTCTAAGTACCAGTCCCGACTCCCGGGCTCCCCTCTGGCCGCCCCCCCACACACACACACCCCGCGCCACGACCCCAGGCTCCTCACCGCCAACAGGTTCCTGTCCTCCACCAGCTGCCGCTTCCGGAGGATCTCCGACTTCAGAACGTCCATGTCGCCGCCCGGTTTAAGCTGGAGGTCCTCTCTCTCCGGCTCCTCCGGCCAGGCCTCACCCGGCCGGGCGCTGCGCTGCACGGAAACCGCAGCCCAAACACTGTAGCACTTCATTGACAGCCGCCGCTTCCGGCGGAAGCTGAGGTGAGTGACGCGCGGAGAGAGAGCACCCAGGGCGCCCGTTGTTGACGGAGCCGCCGTGGAGGAGCGGCCCCTAGCGGCACCCTTGGGCAGCGCGTCCGCAGTGTTCACTTAGAGACGCACAAATCAACACAAGTCTTCTGAATTGAGGGGACCGCTATCCGCTTCGTTTTAATGGTGATATTATACCTGCTAGTTCAGGCTCAAAAACCTCCTAGCAGAAGACCTCAATTATTTTAAATGAGACCAGATCCTTACGTTATACCAGAGGTTCATATCAGAGTTTCTGAAGTTACCTGCGTGCCAAAATTAATGTACTAGAGAGTGAGGACAAATCTGAACACTATTTCCAGCTCATTAATATAAAATAAAAGGGCAGGGTTCATTGCTAGCCTGTTAAAGTCCATCTAAAGTTAACCAATTGCATCCACTGGAATCTTTTTCAGAAGTAAATTTGTCTTTCCCACCCTAACTACCCCACAGGAATACTGTGAAAAATCACAGCAGGACAGATGTGAGAGCAAATTCTGAACTAGGAAGTGTAGCCCTCACGTAAAGTCTGATCATAATGACCCTTATCCTCTGTTGTGGCTCACATCACCCCTCCCACCTGCAATCTTCTCCAACCCC